GGCTGTTATCTTCTTGGTCAAGGTAGAATGGGATGTTGCTCCCAGGGGAATCCACGGCTGTTAACCCTCAGTCAGCAGAGTAGCTGCTGAGGCATGTCACTCTTTGCTTTTAACTCCTGAATCACTCTCTCCATTTCGTAGCTCATCTAGAGGAGCAAGAGATTCGACTTCTTGGCATGGCAGAGCAGTACCAACAGGCTGTCCTAAGCTTTGTGCTTCAGGCTCTTTCTTCCTCGTGAGTGTATAGTTTTAAGCGTTGCATTTTAGACACCTCATTTGCTTTGCTGCCCAACAGGGATTATGTCGGGTTTTTGGCACAATTGGATTAAACTAGCAGACCTGGATAACTTCCCTTGGCATTTCAGGAGATTTGCTGTAAGGCAAACCTGTGACATTCATACCTTGCTAAGCTTGCACAACTAGGGCGAGAGCTGCAGTTAAGGTCTTGACCTCAGTTACTTAAGCCCCTTTCTCGCAGGAGCGTTCATCACTTTAATCACAGAGTCCTAAATAATCAGTGGGTAGCCTGTAATTAGGGGGTTGTGTCTTGGACTCCTGCAGCCTGCTCCTGGTGTGCTGAGCTGTGCGTATTTTGATTTCCCGTTCCCCCAAAGGATGTTTGATCTCAGATTTACACTTTAGAAAATTAAGAAGGGTACGGCACCTCAGTCCCCTGGCAATCTTCCTGCTTTCAGTGGTAGGTGCCTTGCTTTTCCTAAGTATCACAGTGCTACAGCAATTGACACACTTGATTTAAGAGTTTGATTTACAGACTGATACTCAGGCTGAAAGTCAGCAGTTCCAAGGCTGCGTAAATCAGCCTGTCTCTGGGACTAATACTTCCTTATTTATAATTTCGACAGGAGATGGAATTCTTTCTCAATTCTTTACATTTCTTTCAGATGTAATCGACCACCCTGTCCTTTGGTTTAAAGCTATGTGACTTTGCCACAAATAGAGGGAGGCGAAAGTAAGCCGAGTCCAGGAACTGCTGTGCTATAAAAGCTCCATATTGTATGCTCTTGGACTTTGCTTTCTCCCAGCTTCCTTCAAGCCCACACAAGAGATGGACTTGAGGTTTTTTGGCTTTCTTCCCCTCCCCCCTCCCTCCATACATAGGCTGACCTTTTAGAAAAATAAATAAAAGATAAAGAAGGACCTGGAATGTTGCAGAATGTGTGTACATTTTGCTCTCTGTTGTTTTCTGCTGGGATTAGTTGTTTACAATGGGGGAGAGAGAGAGGGCAGAGGAAGGGAGGTCTGTGGCCTTAACTGAAATTAGTGGCATTTCAGAGTGATCTTGTTAGGTGGTCTGCAGTTTAAAGACCTAAATCCTTGTAATCCCCCCATGCCTCCTTGGCCACTACTCCTTTTGCTCTTGTTCTCTCACTTTCAAAAAAAAACCACCCCAAAGTCAGCTTCTCTGTCTCTCAGACACAGGCGTGTAACTTGCACGCATGCACAGACAGAGACATACATGCACACTCTCTCATATGTTTCCATTCGCATGTTGTACCTGTATAACAAAGTAATGTCTTAGCTACATCTGTTCCCACTACAGGACTGGGCTTGTAAAATGCTCTCCCTAGAATGCAGACGCACACTGAATATTTTTATTTATTTTCTGAAAAACACCCAGCTGCCAGACTTTCAGTTTGTGATTACACTTAAAACAAATTCAAATTGAAATTTCAGCCATAAATCAAATGCTCCAAATTAGTTCCTCTTGTGGGTTTGAACATGCTCTTTGGATTTTAAGGTCAGAAGATATCCGTTTTCACTGTGCTGAAAAGTTTAAAAATATACTACATTTTTGGGGAAAAAAAAAATATGGTTTGCATTATAAAGCAGTACATCAAATGTGCGCGTATGCGTGCATACAACAGTGGCGATGAAGCTGGATGCTGTCAGAGCACCTTTGAGGACTAATAGCACCTAATTGTTAAGCAAGGCAGGAACCGTGGTGGCTGTTTAGCCAAGGAGAATGTAGCGGAGTGCCCTGAGATGTGATATTTACCCTGTAAGAGAATAAAAGTTTATTCCTTACTCTTCAACTTAAAAAAATAGTAAAAATTAAATAAACACACAAAATACTTCTCTTGGCAGGCTTTGTAACGTACTTTTTTTTTAAAAAAAGGCATTTACAAGTGGTTTCAAAATGGCTGTGTTACATCTGTCAGCGGGTGAAGGGAACACCCACAAATTGTGTTTTTATCTCTTGAAGTTTTGTTCCACTTGAGCAATAAAAGCCGGATTCGCTGCTGGTTTGTGTGATTGGGGTAATCTGAGCATTGAGTATGGTTTTAAAATTTCTGCAGTTGGTTTGGTTTATAAGTTTTAAGAAACTCCTGGGGTGGCGGAATTCTTGGGTTTTGTTTTACCCTGGCACCGGGGCAGGGTTGGTTTGCGAGCACCTGGCACAGACAAGTTCATCTTGGTTCCCTGGCCTGCCCCTCCCAAGAAATGGTTTGGCAGGACCCCCCCCCTTATCTTTGATGTTAGTGTCACCAGCAGTTTCTTGGTTACAATGCTATTCTTTCTCTGGGAGTTGAAAAACTATCCCCAAGTAGGCTCTGAACATACATCCAGTATTCTCCAACCTGAGCTGCAGACCAACAGCTTAAATCCCCTCTCTGTTGGGGAATATCCTCCTGCATGAGGATAATGCCAAGCGGCGTGGTGTATTCACGGATGCACTCCTGCTCAGAAGAAGGGATAGATGGTGGGAGCCTAAAAGTTTGCAGGGGAAAGCTCTCATCTGACTGGCTCGAAGTGATGGAGGAGTAGTGTGCATTTTGGATGGGAGCCATTTCAGTGGGAAATGAGCAACCTCTCCTGTTGTCTTCGCTAGTCCTGTTGAAAGCCAAGTCAGGATGGCAGCGGTGGGCAGTCCTCCCTCCACCGATTAATTCCCTAGCCCAGCTGCAAATGCAGTGTGGCTCTTGCTTTCAGCAACCGCTGTTGTGCAAGACGATGGCCTGAGCTGCTGTGTGGGCACACAAAGCTATTAGAAGGGAAGCAGATTGTGACAGTGTGAGAGCAAAGGCAGGCGGGGATCTGCTGTGTATCTTTGCCGCTTTTTATCTTATTAACATGTTAGTAAAAACCTTGCCAAGGCAACCTTAGCTGGTTACTTGTAGCATAATTGCTCATATTGCTTCCTTATAGGTCAGAGGAGGAGGAGTGTAAGCGAGTTAAAAGAATAATTGTTCAAAGGGGACAGTCTGTTCAAGGGGGGTCGTAACTGCTAACCACTGTGGCTGAGGTCCAGTTTTATTGCTTTTGTTCCTGCAGAATTAATGCTGGTTTTGTGGGGCAGATGGTTTCTACTCTCACACAAGCAACAGAATTGTAATATGTTTAATGGCAAATTCTGTATACTAGATCATAGTGATGTGTCAGCAATTCATTTTAGGATCAGTGGTCTGGAGTGAGGATTGATGTATCTCTCATCTCCTGAGGACCACAGCCACCTAACTCTCCATTCGATACAGAATTGAGGCTCAGGGCTTTCGCCTGATACCAAAACCTCTATGCTGTTAGTTCAGACTCCAGGGTAACAATTCTGTCCACAAGCCAGCCTGATGGTGCAGTGCAGCTGTGTTTCACTAGTGCAATGAGTGGTGGTGACACCTGTGACCAAGGTGGGGAATGGCTGCAGGTCATGAACTGTGGAACTCTCCATGCAGAAAGTCACTGAAGCCAAAAACTTCAGACAGAGATCAGCTGTTTGACTGAGGATAGCAAGAATATCCACAATTGTTGTAATTCGCAGAAATACTAGGGAGAATATATGAAATGCCATGGTTCACAGTAGGATTAATATGGGGGAGCAGATTACCTGCATCTCTCTGGGGTTATATATCTCGCTTATACCTTCCTCCCAATCAGCTGGCTTTGATGTGTGTTAAACTTAGTATTTTTAGACATTTCTTAGCTGGATCCCTTTGAATTTTCTGTCCTTCAGTGACTTCTACCTATCTTTGCACATGTGAAAATAAGGAAAGAAATCATTTGCATTGTAGCTATTTTTTTCTCTGTAGCTTTGAAAGGAATTACATTTAATACCATTTAACACTGCTCATGATGCTGAGTGAACAGCATTTCAGGACTCATCATGGAGAGTAGTAAAGATTCACAACTTCCATTTTACTGCCTGGAGGGATCAGACCAATGCAGTAACTCACTCAGCATCTCTCAGCAGAGGAGTTATGAAGCCAGCACTTGGACTCTGAACTTCTTTCCTATGTGGACAATCAGATCAGCAGATTTGAAAGCTGGTTATCACGGATTCAAATACGTTTTGGAAGAAGGTGACTTTTGCTGAAGTTCCATCCTATGTAGCATTTCAGACTTCATGGTGTCAAAAGCTATGTGAGTGTGAAGATAGCCAAGGCAGGTAGAGCAGGTCCAGTGTGGGTTTCATTGGTTTAGTACTGCAGAGTAATCATGTTTAGGTGCTTGAATGTAACATGAAAAAAGCCAACCAGCTGAGGTATTGATCTGCCCCTTCTTGCCACCCTTTCATAGTGCCTGACAAGCTGGAACGTATGAAACTTCTCAGCAAAATTCACAGGGAAGGACTGGGCTGCTGCTCCTCTTTTTAACTGGGGAGCTGAGCAGAGAAGCCATCCCTGCAGTTTCCCAGACTGTCTGTGGAAAATACGAGACTTGATCCAGGTACTAAGTCCCAGGCCAGTGCCCTGTCTATGAAATCCTCTGGCAGTATTTATTCTGTTAAGGATGTAGAGGAAAGCTGTTCTAACAGGAGGTAAAACTGGAAACCCTTTTTTGGAAACCCATTCTGACAGTTGACATTTCAGTTTTTCCAGCAGCTGGTTGTGAAGATCAGAAGAATAGTGGAGTTTGTGAGAAAAGAGCAGAACTGAACCTAATTACAGGATCATGTCATAGGCTCATTAGATATTCCAGTAGATACCTTTGTTTTGTACCTGTCATTTTAAATTATTTTCTTGCTTTACTTTGTGTTTATGTTGTAGGTGCTGTCTTCAGGGCAGTGTTATTTGTCATAACGCTGTGATAGAGAAGGGTGCAGACATCAAAGACTGTTTGATTGGAAGCGATCAGAGACTGGAAACCAAAGGTAAGTAGAGGAGCTGTATTTACATTTGTAATCATTTTCAGAATTTCTTCCTTGAGATTTTAATCCTGCTTCTTCATGAAGTGCCAGTAAACAATGGCAGTTCTACAGTGTGGTGTCCTATAATATTAGGATTTGTTTTTCATGGAAAGTACAGCTTCTTGGCATAAGAATAGTTCAGGGACTTGCTCCTCTGAAGTTGGCAGAAAAGCTCTGTTGTTGTTGTTACAAAGAGCAAGACTGGGTGCTGAGACAGTCTTTTCCCAGAGACCACAGCCTGAAGCTGTCCTCAGCAGAAGGACGCTGTTATTCTGACTAGCAGTCTTTGTCAGTGTCAGGGGTGATGCAGTCAAATTATTGATCACACAGACATCCTTCTCTTTGTAGATGCTGCCAACCCACGGTGCCAGTATGCTCCCATTCACCTTGCTCCAAGCAAAAGCTCGAGGTGGATTATTGTACTAGGAGCTGCTGTGCTCAGTACTAAATACAGCAGCAGCTACATTCAGATCTGCTTTACTGCTCTGAAGTGATATTTTGGGGCTTCAGAGAGGTTAAAACCACGTGGCCCTCGTTTGGGCAAAGTTAAGCCATCCAGTGGAAGCGTGCGTGGCGAGAGCTCTGTGGTAACCGCCTGAGTGGAACTGTTGATTTCCTGCCCTAAGAGATAATGGGCAGGAAACGGCTGTCTCGGTGACTGCATCCCAAGTGGAGGGCTTTTTAATGAATATTTATAGTTGGGGTTTGGCAGATCCCTGCTCTAGGGTGTGGACTGAGGACAAAAGTGAGTTCCTTTGCAGGCTCCATGCGAAGTTATTTAGTCAGATCAGGATTTGTTTGCTCGCTTTGTCTTTATGGGTAGATTCCCAATTGTAAGTGTCCTGACACAGAGCAGGGTTTGCACTTAACGTAGTAGAACATAACCTGTTGTCATCTATGCATATGACAAATTTTCCTTTAAATTGAAACTAGAAGTAAAAAAGACTTGTGAAAACAAAGTACTGATCTTGCAGTTGCAAGTCTCAGGCACTGTAGGAAACATCCAGTGAGTATTCTGTGCACTGTGGTCTTGATCCCTGTATATCAGAGTCTGTACCTACTCATGGCTTTGCCCGTCACACCAGTCTGCATCAGTGGCCCTTGCAGGGTTCATTGCTCCCTATCACTGAAGATTTGCACTATTGATGATGCTCCATGTCCTCCCCTGAGCATAGAATCGTAGAATCATTCAGGTTGGAAAAGACCTTTAAGATCATGAAGTCCAACCGTAAACCTAACACTGCCAAGTCCACCACTAAACCATGTCCCCAAGAGCCACATCTACATATCTGCATGAATCACTAGGAGAGCTGAATCAGGTGGCATTTGGTTGTTAACCTGCAGCATGAATTATGAGGAGATGGGGTTTAGATTTAGCTAATATTTTAGGAAATAGGAATATGTTTGATTTCTTTAGTAGATTATAGCAAACAGAAATAATCCCCCTTTGAATTCGCTCACATCTGCTTCAGTAGTCTCTTCCAGGGTGCAGATCCAAGTCTGATTGATTTTAATATGGAAACTGTTCTTTCTTCTTGATTGTCCTCATCATCCTTGTCTGAATATTTTTCAGGGTCTGTAGATGTACTTGCACGGAGAGTAACGGAGCTGTAACCCGTGGTTCATTTGCCTATTCTTGTAGAGTCTACTGCTCACCTCTCCAAATGTTAAACCCACTTCTTAATGAGTCTGTGGGCCCTCTAGTTAAACTGTTCAGAAACGTATGATTGATGTTAGCAAAGACACATTCAGGTAGATTATGAATACACCATTATGCTGAGCAAGAAAAAATAATAAAGCCTCAGTTCATTTCCCTGCCTCAGTTTCCTAACCATTCTGGAATTTCTTTGGGCTGGGGGTCAGGTTCTCCTCGGTGGTCTGGGATCTGTCTGCGAAGTTCATGACTTATTTCCTGAACTGTGGAGTCTTTCCAGCCCAGCATGTCTCTTCTGACCTCGGCTGGTCCCATAGTAAACTGGGCCCTCTCTTTTTCACTGTGAAAGCATGCCATGACTTCCTTTTCCCTGCCCAAGACTTCCTGTGTCTTGTGCCAAGCTTTTGGTGTGGCCCTGTTAAGTCTGTTTCCATATTCCCCCTTTCATCCAGACTTTGGCTGTGTTGTTCTGTTTGGTAACTTTTCCTTCTTCAAACTCGAGCCTCCATGGCCAGGTTAGAAAAAAACTAGTTCTCTTGGGCTGGAGCCACCTTTTGTTGCAAGCTGATCACACTTCAGCAGACGTAAGCAGTAGCAGCTGGCTGTTGACCCTAGTCTGGAAGTTACATGCTAGAAGCCTCCTCAGCAAAACTGCATACACCTTCCCAGAAACATTACAAAAATAAAAATACAGCAGTCCCTTATTCCAAAGCATCAGCCAGGATTCATCAAAGGTAGAAATATCCCTGAATCATCCCACACAGCCCCAAGCAAATCCCACAGTTGACTTTGCTGCAGAACTGGCTGTGTGCTCCCTGCTCTGCTGTACGAGTCCTGGCCACGCTGCCCAGGCGGCTCAAGGTACAAGACCTCTTTAAGCCAGTGGTGCACTGACCTCCTTTCATAAAATGAACTCCAGTCCCATGCAAGGAGGATGGCAGGAGAACAGCTACCACAAATGATAGGCAAACGTAACTCAAACCAGCTCTCATCCTTTTCCTTCTGCGGAATAATATGGGCATATTTAGGGTGGTCCAAATGGTACAGCTGGGAGTAATGGGATTGAATTAAACACAATTTAGGTTGGCTATCTGGAACGTTTTCCTAACGATGTGGTCTGGTAGGCTGTGGGATAATCTCCCTGAGGACATAGTGGGAGACCTCATCACTTAATAATGGGCTTGGCAAAGCTCTGGACACCTAAATAGAGGGAACACTCCAGCACTGGTTACTGGGGTAGATCAGATGCAGCCTATTACTTTCAACCTGAAAAGAAGGTTAGAGACACAACAGGGCCAGGTAACTGTCAGCAGTGACATCCTAGTCCTGCCTTGACTTCAGCCCTATCACAGCTTTGGACAGAGATGGTACGTTTAAATGCCTCTTAAAGTCAAGGTAGGAAGTTTAATAAAACTTCTGGATTTGCAAGCCATGCCTCCTGAGAGCCATACTATTCTCTTCCTACTGCTTTTATTACCATGCTTAGGAAGGATCCACTTTCCTTCCTCTTTGATACTTTAATTTAAGGAATTTGCTAGAAGAGAATCAACAGATGGGTTTTGTGAAAGCTACCTCATGCAGGTAGCAGTTTGAAAAACATGTCCGTACCTAAGAAAAAGGAGGTAATTATTAAAGGGATAAGAAATGGCAGGCAGCAGTTCTGAAAGAACTTAATTGCATAGAGCATTCAATCACTGTTTCAAAGACAGTTATTAGAATCATGCTCTAGCCTTTTTGATGAACCTATTTTTAAAGAGGAGTGCAACAGCAGCATGCACTCGTTGAAGTAGGACTAGCGAGAGGGAGTGCTGGTGATGGGCCAGTTGAGGAGTCAGATGAGCCCTACAGTCAGTGAGTTCAGTTCCCAAAGGAGTCTCTAGGCCAGATTCAGCAGGGACTACGTTGCACATCTGGTATAGGTTAGCCAGGAAGAGGCATATACAGTAAAGTGGCCTAACCTTTCTTCAAAGCAACACCAAGAATAGAGATGGTAAAGACACACACATAGGATAGAACTAGCGAAATTGACACAAAATTCACCACTGTATCCCTCGCCTTCATCTTTGTTGTCTTTGAGGCAGGAATGTTTTATGTGCATTGGATACTAAGGAGCAAGTGTCATTTAGGGACAGCTTGAGTCACTGCACACCCGAAAAGTGCATTACAGCAGTGTTGTTGCCGCAAAGCATATGTTCAGAAAGGGGAAAAAATACCAGCAGCCAGGACTCTGATGTAATCTTAGCTTGGTATCCTGATACATACTTAGTAGTAGCATTATCTCCGTGACCAGGCTGTAGACTGTGATTTTTCTGTGCTTGTTCCTGTGCAGTTTTTATGCCATCAGATATTTTTATTTTCCTTGGTGCCCTGACACAGTCAACACCCAGAATGAGTAGTGCTTGCTGAATGCAGGGGTTTTCCATATTCCTCATTTTCCTGTCTTTTTTCAGTTTGTGTCTGAAACCTTAATTACTGAATACTATGCAAGAAACAAGATCCTTCCTTTCTGTGGCCTTCCTGCAACATTTGTCATCTTAATGCTTCACAATTGTTAACAACCTCATTTCCACCTCCTTAGTATGAATATGGTTGGGGTTTCCTCCTATTTTACGGAGACCTGAGAAACAGGGAGATTCTGATCATCTGCCCATTCATTTGGACTGGCCACCTTAAGTGCTGAAATTGCATGTTACATGTGGCATTTCCTAGCTATTAGAGTCTTGACATTTTAGCCTTAACATTTTCTTGGTAAATGTTGGGAAGGAAGGTTCAGTCCACTGAAAAAAAAAACCAAACATTTTATCATACAGGATGATGTTGGCCCTTGCGTGGTTCATTAGCAGTGTCAGAAACTTGAACTCCATTGTACAGCTTTCTGCTGCTTCAGCTGATGGGAACTGATAGTAGTGGGTCATCTTCCTTAAGGGGAGCTGGATCTGCAATGGGACAAGAGAAGCTCTTTGCCAGGAGGTTTCACGGGTGCCAATGGGCATCAGCAGCCCTGAGATCCGCTCCTGGTGCTGGGAGAAGTCTGTATTAACTGTAGGCTTTACTGCTCCTGCCTCCAGCATCAGCCATTGGGCCCCAATTACATCATCTATGTCCTACCCGATCCTGACTCCTGCTTCATAGCTCCCCAGTATGGCTTTGTCCCAGGACCAGACTCGTCCTGTTCCTAGCCTTCTCTTTGTTTTTTCCCCTAGTCTTTCTCCCATGGAGATTCTTGGTTTTCTCTCTTACTTGGTTATTCCCAGACACCCACCTGATGGCTCCTCTGGTCTGACCGTAGCTGCTATTTCCAGTGCCCTTG